TCCACTTTCCCTCCCCCAAAAAAAACTAAGAACCCTTACAGATTTTTATACATACATATATATATATATATATATAATAGTTTTCCCATTCACTTAACAGAAGGACACACTGAGATCAAATCTAACCTCAAATAATTAATTCATTAGATGTAAACTGTTTTTTATATACTCCCATGCTTGGGGAACTGGAATTTTCAGATCCTGTGAATCCTAAGAAAGATTTGAAAATCCAAATATTAGTGCTTTTTATATCATTCAACTCCTAACCTAAAAATCATTAAATATTTTAATTAAAAAATTTAGGAATATTTGTTTTATTAACACCCCAAACATGTTTCAATAAAAAAAGGAGACATCTGTTGCAATTTCAGTGGTATCTGAATCACCTTGTGACAGTCCTGAATGTGTCTGTTTTAGTATCACATCCAATAAAATCTGCTGGAATTTTCAAATAACTGGCATGTTGCACTTTCTAAAAAATTCTCTAAATTAATTTACTTTGATAATTCTATACAGAGATAATTTGCAATAAAGAAGCCCTAGATATTTTCCACATCACATGTCACAGTACATACAGACGGCATCAGACACAAATACGTAGTGTATTCGGAAACTAAGTACTGTTTCATTTTAGCGCCGTCGCAGCGCTGTGGTAGGCATCCCGTGCATGCGCACTAGTCTTTCTTGTTCACTGACTTTCAATTGTCGCCATTTTGGTTGCTCTATGCTGTGTTTTCAGTTTGCTCTGCACATTCAAAATGTTTAAGACAATTAGTTCTCCCGCTGACTGTGAGATTCGTGCCGTGATTAAATTTTTTAACACAACGAATGTTAAACCGGCCGAAATTTATCATCAAGTGACAGAAGTTTATGGTGAATACGCGATAAGTGATGGAATGGTGAAAAAGTGGGTAAGAATGTTTAACGCAGGTTGATCAAATGTCCACGCCGAGGCTCGGAGTGGTTGGCCTTCTGTTGTCACTGATGATTTGGTAAGGAAAGTTGATGAAACAATTTATGAGAACAGACGCTTCACAATGAGAACTCTTTCAGAGGCATTTCCACAAATTTCACGTACTGTTTTGTTCGAAATTGTGTCTGACCGCTTGAATTATCGCAAACTGTGTTCCCGATGGATTCCAAAAATGCTCACTGATGTTCACAAAACAAAGCGACTTGGTAGTGCCCTGACATTTCTCACGCGGTACAGTGATAAGGGAGAAACTTTTAAACCAATTATGACAGGTGATGAAACTTGGGTGTGTCATTTCACACCAGAATCGAAACAACAATCGATGGAGTGGGAGACACACTCATTCTCCAAAAAAAAACAAAAGTTCAAAGTGACAATGTCATCACAAAAAATCATGTGCACTGTCTTCTGGGATAGGAAAGGCGTTTTGCTTACTGAATTTCTTCCCAGAGGTGAAACCATTAATGCGGCACGATATTGTAAGACTAACAAAACTAAGACATGCCATTCAAAACAAACGAAGAGGAATTCTCAGTAAAGAAATTGTGTTGCTCCATGACAATGCTCGGCCTCATACTGCTGGTGTCACTCAATCATTAATTCGACAGTTTCATTGGGAGCAGTTTGATCACCCGCCGTACCGTACAGCCCGGACTTGGCGCCATCCGACTATCACTTGTTCCTGCACATGAAGCGCGAGCTTGGTGGCAAGCTCTTTGGATCTGACGATGCCATGAAAAATGCTGTGGAGTGGTCGTTATCGAAACTGGCGGGAAGTTTCTTTGACGATGGTATACAAAAACTGGTCACCCGCTATGACAAGTGTTTGATCATTGTCGGAATCTATGTTGAAAAATAGTTTAAGACATGTATTTTTATGTAAAAATAAAATTGCATTCGAAAATATTGGTTTACTATTTTTTTTTTTTTTTTTTTTTTCAAAACGGTACTTAGTTTCCGAATACACCTCGTACATTCGATGTTGTGGACTAATTTATGAAACTGTCCACTAATGTAACTCAAGGCTATTGAATTTTGAATTGTTAGCTTAAATCTGAATTGTTACTCAAATATTTCTATCAAATTATGTAGAAAAACATAACCTCAAGATTCAAGTGTTTAAAACTACATACCATTCACTCCTTTTTGATAAATACAGGTATTTTTAAAATTATATTCTTAAATGTGCTTTTCAATCAATCTAGATTTCAAATTTTGTTTTCCCCACATTTGAACATGTACAATCTTAGGTGAAGTACATGATGACCTCTGCCTACAATTACAATGAATCATCATGAAAAAGACAGTTTCACATAGAAAAGTATAACTACAGTGTATTTCTAGGGTTTGGCAAAAACATTGAGGACAAAAATGCCATGAAGAAAACAATGCAAGGCAAAAACGTCATCATACAAAACATCGTGGGAGAAAAGATAGCAAGAAGAAAACATTGCAGTCCTAAAACACTGTTAGCGAAAATAAAGGTGTTAAAAAATTTCACACTTTAAAAACACTGTTGCCGAAAGTATTATGGTAACAAATAAAACACCTACATATCATTGCACATCCATAACATCGTAGACTTTAAAATTCGCATATTCATATAATGATTTGTGAACTCAAGAAAGAATGAGAAATATTCTTACTTTTATATTTCATATTTTTTGAATTAACCGAGAAGTGTTTTGCAGAAAAAATGAGAAGGAAATTTAAGTATGCAAAAACTTGTATAACTAACTAAGGTCATTAATTAATTAACTTTTATAAAGTTTTATTGGTAATTTTTCATATAAAATATAATTTAAAAAAGATTAGAAAAAAGAAGACAAGTAACTGCATATGATTACCTCTTTTAAAATTGTGTAATTATTATCAAAATATAAAATTCTATATGTAGTATTAATTTTCTACTCATTTTCAGTTTTTGAATGCATAAGTTTTTTCTAAAGTTTTCAGCAAAGAATTTATTAGTTAATTAAAAATATGAAAAAGTAAAATATTCTTCATTCCATCTTGCACTCACAAATCACTAGGCGAATACTTTTAAAGCCTGAAACACGTAGTCTACGATGTTGTCATTATGCGATGATTTGCAGGTGCTTTCGACAACAATGTTCTTAAAATGTGAAGTTTTTTAAACACTTTATTTTATATGACAATGTTATGCACTGCAGTGTTTTTTTGTTGCTTTATTTTCTCCTCTGATGTTTAGTAGGATGACATTTTTGCCTTGCATTGTTTTCATCTGTGATATTTTTGTCTGTAACCATATTTCTGAGAGTAGTTGCATAAAATTGTACAAAGAAATGCACATAAATGATTTGCTTTAAGAACTGGCTGTTCATTGTAAAACTTAATACACATCTGTATACGAGAAAATTGTGTCAGATCTGCTGATGAAACACAAATGGGAAGAAATTTTACTTCACTTAGGATGAAATTTTACTTCACTCACTTACTTCAATTTAGATGCAAGTCCACTAGACTTTAAATTACTTCTCAAACTGAAAGAGCCCCTACGTAGATAGCATTTTTCTTATCTACAAAAGGTTTCTTCCGTGGTTATATGAGTGATCCGAAGCCCAGATAAAAGGAGTAGTTGAAAAGGACTGTTAATCTATGCAAACTTCAGATTATTATTATTATGAAGCAAGAGGGTTTTTCAAAAGGATAGTCATAAGAAATTACTTCATATCAAATACATCTAGTGAATAAAAAATTCACTGCATAACAGTTTAAATAAATTTCATATTTGCATTTTGTGTGGTTCCAATTTTCATTACATACTCTAAAAATAACATGGCCATGTTAGTAATTCCAAGATATGGAATTATTTGCCATTTTGGTGGCTACTCTGTCAGTTAGCACATGACAGATAGTTTGAAAGCAATTCAATTATTGTACACAAAGTACAATATAAAAAACTAAATTACTGATTGACAAAGAAGCATATTTTGTAAAAGCAGTTATACTTAAAAAATAAAACTTCTGTTTGTTAACAATGAGTCACATTTGAGGAACCAAAGAGCTGCATGCAGCTTATGAGCTGCAGTTTGGCAGTGTCTGATACAAAAGTAAATACATTAATGTAAACATCCTTTGTAGAAATTATACTTATTTTACTAGAGAAATGCTACCACACACATTTATCATGAATTATCATGAAATTTCCACAATAATACAGGGATATAACAGCACGTGGTACCGAGCACAGAACTGCTCAGTAAGATAAATTGCAGCTGTGAAAGGCTGTAATTTAATTTTCCTTTGCACTAAATACTAGGTGTTGAAAATGGGCTTCATGTGAGTGCAAGAAGCTATTGCATTTGTACACTCAAATTCTGTATTTTATCAAAATTTTTTCATATACTTAGAGTTAGATAAATATGCTCATCTGTTTAATGCTAAATAATTGCATTTGTACACTCAAATTCTGTATTTTATCAAAATTTTTTCATATACTTACAGTTAGATAAATATGCTCATCTGTTTAATGCTAAATAATTAATCTAATCACTTTCTGTTATTACTAGATCATTCCATATAAAAGTAATACAATTTCCTACTTCCTTTTGCAACACTGTTGTGAAATATTTATCATTTACAAATAAACCAGTCAATATATATATATATTAGATTAGTATTTGAATTTAACCTTTCATGGACAGGAAAGAAATTTTTAATGGAACTACATGAATGGTTTGCCATATATATGATGGCTGTTGCAAATGGTTACTATTTTTTTCATCAGCTAATTAAGAAAAACTTGAAGCCATTATTTGTTTAAATACCTTTTTCACATAATTTTAATAAACATAGATTTAGATTTTTTTTTACTATTCTCGGTGAATAACATCAATACCTAATTCTAGATACAGTGAAAATATTTTGCTTTACGGACTATGTATGCATAATCAGGCACTCGTATAAAACATATAGTATAAACAGAAAAAGCTGTATAAAATAATTTTAACAAAAATTCATAAGAATCGATAACAATAATAGTTCAAAATACAGAAATATTTACCTCATAAAACCCACATGCCATAGTTCGTCTGACATTTGCAAAAGGATCAGCACATAGCTCTTTAAAAGTAAAATAAAGCTCTTTTTCAAAATTTTCAGGACCAGAAAACAGGACCATGGCCTAACAGATTAAGATAATTGTAAACAAAGATTAAGCCACAAACTAGGCAACATTTATATAATTAAAACTAAGTAACAAAGAACAATCCACTTACAGGAAAATTATAAGCGCATGCACATCGGCATTCACGATAACGATCCTTATGATCAACTTCTGGCAGTAAATCAGGCATCTAAAAATGTCATTTTCATCGAAATAATTAAAATTAAATTTTATTTATAACAATAATAAAAAATTGGTAAAAATATGATAAATCCGTACTTGAATATATCAAAATTTGACTGACAAAGAATACGTATATTCAACAATAAATTAAATTTTTCCAAAGCTTAAAACCTTGATGCCTTCTTAATACCAGCCTCTGTTTTGTATTAGCAGAGAAACACTTGGTGACAGAGTAGAATCATGTCTAATAACGCATGCACCACCACAATCAGTGCTGAATTTTAGTCTGTGAGAAACTTAATTTTTGTTGTACATTCGAAATTGCGATTCATATGTTACACTGTAAGAAAGAAACCTAGTGCCAGAGTGTCACTATGGAAAATAAATGTATTGGAAGTTAGAGTGTGTTATTTCTGTAATGTGTGTGTAAATGTAATTTTGTTCTGCTATATAGCTATCGACGAGAAATAGAATAATTCAAGTTTTTTGGACGGTCAGAGCCGGGCTAATAAAGTTTATGAGACTGTGATATTACTTTCAGTTTTGTAAAATGAAGGATTACATAGGGTACTTCCAGATTGAAAGTTCTGTAGAAACAAAAGGGTAAGTACCCTCCCCTTACTGAAGCTCATTGTACCTTATTGAAGCTCTTTATTTGTTTATTGACTTTTGCTAATTAAAAAGTCACTAAAGATATTAGCAAAAAAACACACATTGAAAACACAGTTAACAAAGATAAAACAAAAAGTTGTGAATGAAAATGTGCAAAGAAGAGATTTGGAAGTACTGAAGAATAAGTTTAACCTTCCAACACGTGCACGTGATGTTTTTTATGACATCCGTTATTTTACCATTTTTGGCATGAAAAATGACAGAAATAAGTGAATACTGATAATAAATTTGTTAAGAAATAAAATAATAATCTTATTATTGCAAAATACAAATGATATCACATTCAAATACAGTCAAAAGCCTTTAATCCAGACGTCCATAATCCGGACCTCAAAGCTACAAACTTTCTGAGCATGCGTCAACGCATGCGCATAATACCTTTATGCAAGCGCATTTAATGTATAACGGACGGTATAAGCTAAGCTAAAATGATCTAATTATCTATTTTAGTTAATGCTGCAGATTGCGTTGTTCCTAAATCTTCTAATTGGATCCGGCTTATTATTTTTTGCAGACTGTTAGATTTTATAAAAGTAAGCTTGAACTTTCGATTATGTCAAAAAGAATTTCCGATTCTGGAGCTACCAAAGGATCTACAAAGCGAAAGCATGTTCCGATGTCCATCAAACAAAAAGTGAAATTCCTGTAAAAAATAGATAAAGGCATATCCTTTGATTCTCTAATCATTCCGAAATATGTTTATCAGTTTCACGCTGCTTTCCGGGGGGGGACGAAGCGGCGCGACGCGCAATGAAATGGAAGTTGATCTGTCAGCACTATCCTTATCTTCAGGGCAGATGTTTTTATTTTATTCGGCTTATAATTCCTTACTAAATGTAGTATTTCATCTCAATGTACTCCGTCTTTGATATGATTTAAATGAAATTCCTCGTCATTATAAATATCACGAATACACATCAAATAGTTTTCTGGTTGCAATTTTCTAATTTCGATTATGCGTAATGTATGCTTTATGCATTCGCGCGTTGAAAGAAATGTTTAATAAAGTAAACAAATAAATATAAAGCTTTTTTTTTTTTTTGATACCCTTTAGATCATAATTGCTCTTTATTTAATAAATTACAGTTTCATATTTTTAATTTTATACTTTCTGCATGCCATCTTACCAGATTTAAACTGATGATCTATAATCCAGAAAAACCGATAATCCGGAACCGCCGAAGTTCTGACGAGTCCGGATTAAAGACTTTTGACTGAATAAGTAAATTATTTTTAAGTTCTTATGTTAGTTACCGTAATTTCCGGAAGAAACGCCGCGGCGTTTACGTGTTTTAAACTTAAATTTTCAGCGGGTGCGGCATTTAGGTGCACTAAAAAGAAAATATTTCCTATGATGGTCATTGTACATAGTTTGGATTGCAAAAATTGGTTGAGTGTCCAGATGAGAATTTAGCGAGTTTTTATACCACTGAAGGTATAGAGTGGAAATTTATTTCTCCAAAGTCGCCAAATTTTGGCAGAATTTGGGAGGCTGGAATTAAATCATTTAAGAGTCATTTGAAGAGAGTTATTGGTAATCAGTGGTTAACTTTACAAGAATTCTTAACTGTTTTAACAGAAATTGAAGTAGTATTGAACTCAAGACCTCTTACTCCAATGTCAGCTGTTTACAACAATTTTGAAACTTTGACCCCAGGTCACTTTTTTGTTGGTAGACCTATCACAACTCTTGCTGAGCCAGATTTATCCAACATAAATGAAAACAAACTTTCTTAATGGTAAAAAATCACTAAGTATACACAAAAAATTTGGAAATTATGAAAATGTGATTATCTTAATAATTTACAAGAATGTCACAAATGGAAATTTTTAAAAGAAGACATTCAGTTTAGGAACTCACCTTCAACCAAATGGTTAGTGGGGAGAACAGCTGAGGTTTTCCATGGTAGGGAAAAGTAATAACTGTAAGATTGCCTAATCAACACTTGCTAAAACAAATGTTCGAGATATATGTATACTTCCTGTAGAATGATTGTTTATCTCTATTATAAACAGGAATTTGTTGTAATGATTTGAATGTATATTCTTCAATATTGTGAAGTAATTTATTGTAGTGCCTTTATATTTACATTTATTGTAATAATAGTTTTGAAATTGTTAATTTCAACGCTGGGAGTTTTTTGTATTAGCTGAGAAACACTTGGCAACAGAGGAGAATCTTGCCTAATAGTGCATGTGCTACCAGAATCGGTGCTGAATTATAGCCTGTGAGAAACTTAAATTTTTATTGTGCATTCAAAGTTGTGATTCATAAGTTACGCTGTAAGAAACAAACATAGCGCCAGAAGGTCGCTATGGAAAATAAATGTATTGGAAGTTAGAGTGTGTTATTTCTGTAATATGTCTGGTGTTATTTTATTGTGACATAGAGCTATCGATGAGAAATAGAATAATTCTATTCAGCCCCTTAATGCAATATTTTCTTGTATTTTAATCAATTTCTTCAAAGAATTTAATTTACCTAAAAATCATTTCAAATTAATTCCATTATCTCAAGAATACTTGAAATATTTCCTAAATTTTTCTAGAGAAAAATATCTATATCTGAAAGCAAACAAATATTTTGTTAGAATTAATGTAAGAAGTCAAAAAATTGTATGAAAATAAACTTTTAAAATAGATGTTAATCTCCAGTTTTAAAATTTAAAATAATAAAAATAATGCCAAGTATAGTAAAACCTCGAGAAATACCCAAAAGTCAAATATTTGAGAATTCCATATACAATACAATTCATGTTAGAAGAGCTAAATGAATAGAAGAATAGAAATTTCTGGTCTAAAATTATGAAAACAGTCATCTTATTTGTCATAAAAGTCTATTTTTAACATTATGGAAAATTAAAATTGGAATCAAAGTAAGGGAATTCTTCAATAACATCAATAATTGCAACTGTGAATAAGAGGTTAACCGTTTGATTCTGGCGAAGCGCTATCGCGCTTCACTTGTCGTATGCCAAAAATACGGCGCAGCGCAATAGTGCTTCTCTTGTTTTGTATCAAGAATGCGAAGACGCTGCTGTTGGTTAGTATACTTTACGCAATTATTGAGAGCAGTTGTAGTGATATCAGTAGCAGTTGTTTTATAGGAATTGGAAATTGTTTTAATTTTTTTACCAAGTGTTATACCGATAATTACAAAATAACCTATGTCAAGTTCTGATTCATTTGAAAGTGACTATGTTATGAGAAGTGATAATGAAGAGTATAGTAATGACCTTGAAAGTGATAGTGGAAGTGACATCATCATTCGTTCTAAGAGATTACAAGTTATTAGTGATAGCAGTAATGATGATGAAGTAACTGCAAGTACCTAGGATGACGATATTATTGATGAGTTTTTACCCGTGGATACAACTTTTTCGAACGAATCGAATACTTTTTCTGAAGTACATGGACCAAAGCATGCCCCTCCTTTTGATGCGAAACCAACTGAATATTTCAATAATTTTCTTTCAATTTTCAATAATTTTTTTTTTTTTTTTTTTTTGAGTATACTAACCAACAGCAGCATCTTCGCCTTCTCGATACAAAACAAGAGAAGCGCTATTGCGCTGCGCCCTATTTTTGACATACGACAAGTGAAGCGCTTGCCGGACTCAAACGGTTAAACTTTGTATCTAAACATATCAAAATTAAAATAAAAATTCATCAGTAGAACAATATATATAGATATTTGTGTGTGCATAAGCAATATATATATATATATATAGGTATCAGCATGTTTGTGTGTGCATAAGTAATATATATATATATATTTAGTTGTAATGAAAGTTTTCCACCAAAAAACATTCTTAGTAAAGTAAAAAAAAATGGGGGGGGGTGCAGTACCCTTAGTGCGGGTAGTAATCACCACCCAAATCCATGATTTTCTGCTGATGTTTTGACAGTTTTTGAAAGCCTTCAGCCCAGAAACTTGGCGGCTGCGAGTCCAAAAACACAGCACCCTCATTTCGAATGTCATGTGCAGAATGGACTATAGCACCAGCAAGATGTAGCTACAGAAAAAAGGTAGAAGTCCGAAGGAGCAATGTCCAAACTATAAGGTGGGTGTGGGTAAAGATCCCATTCAAGTTTGTTCACAGTCCAGCTGAATATACACATGTGTGATCTTGTATTAGCTCGATGGAACATTACCTTTTTGCCCTGAAACTCAATTTGGTATTTTTCCTTGATAGCAGCATCAACACTACTAAGATCACACTGTACACCTTACTGTCGACGATTTTACCTTTTTCCAGATAATCTTGGTGGATAACACCACGACAATCCCACCAGATACAAAGCTTAACCTTAATGTTAGTCAAATGAGACCATCGGCGATGCCGCCGATGGGCTTACTGCGTGCGACCAATTCCATTTTCGGCCTGTGTTATTGAAGTAAATCCACTTTTCATCACAAGTAATGATCTGTTCCAGAATTTTGTCCTTGAATTGATATTCGAGCAGGTTAGTGCAGGCCACAAACATGTCTGACATTAGTGCCGAACATGTCTGTCCTTATCTGCTTGAGTCAGTTCATGTGGCACCCAGCAATTGAACTTGTATATCGAGTTTATTCAATGCATAATGTGACTAATAGACATGGCAATAACATCTAACTCCTTAGCAAGGTCTCGAGTGGTTGCATACTGATGTGCTTCCACAAGTTCTCGCAGGCGGGCCTCATCAGCATCAATAGCCCGACCTGAGTGCTCTACTTCTTAAATGTCATAGTCCTTGTTTTTGAACTTTCGGTAGCAAACCTTCACAGTGTCATGATTTGGTGACATTCTGTAGCTGACAGTTTGCAAGAGAGCTGGAGTAAATGATGGTTTGAATATGGTAACGTGATAGTTGCATTTCAGACACCTTGTAATTAATGATAATGATATTTTTTTACAAATTTCCCAACAGTGTTCTAAAGCAAGTCTCTTTCTTTCAAATGCCAAAAATCGTTTGACAAAATATGATTAAAAATGCCAATGCAAACTGTTAGCGCAGACAATATTTGCAGTGGCGGGAAACTTTCGTTAAAACCCAATATATCACGTTTGCATTTGCATAAGCAAGATATGTACGATAAAAAATATGTAAATCAAAATTATAACTTAAAACTAACGATAACCCTATATTTCTCAATCTTTTTTTAAAAAATTGTAAGATTTTACAGGACTCTGAATTCTTCCAGGTACTGCTTGAAAAAATTAGCACATTTTTACAGTATTTTCACAGAAAAATGAACTTGAAGATTCCTAAATTTTAATACAATTTTCAATTTGAGTTTATTGCTAAAATGATATCTACAAGATTTTATTAAAAAAATTATTTAGATCAAAATTCTGTGATTTTTTTTCACAATTGTATTTCCCTTTGTTTTGCTAACACTTTTTTCTAAAAAGGCTTTTTTGTCACCAAGCCTTTTTCTCTTTGAAGGGGGATATGTAAGATAAAAAATATGTAAATCAAAATTATAATTTAAACTAACCCCTAATTCCCTTTAATTCTCCCTCTCTCTTCTAAAAATCGTAATAGTTTTTCTGGATTGCACCATTTCTAGATCATTCCATTTCGCATGGCCTGCGCAGCGTTGATAACGTAATAATTCGGAAATGAAACTCTTAATTCAAACCAAAATCCGTCTCTTCATGTGCATCCATAATTGGATAACTACACACTTTAGCTTCTGTCTGTGCAGTATTTGTATGCAATTTCGCTGGGCTTGCTTCCTACTGCAACAATATACAAAATGCAAATGTTTTTGAACAGGCACGATTGGAGTGCCAAGTGAATTGTGGCCAAAAATGTCAATTGAAATAAAGATGAATAGTTACCTTCCTTGGTTGCCAAGTTTGCTTTTCAATATGGATCGACATTCTAAGCCATTAATATTTCCACATCATCATTACTTCTACTACTACTTGCTTCATTACAATAAGTATACTGTTACATCATACACACATGCATGTACACACACATATATAAGCTGATGTACTTCCACAAGTTTAAATATATGAAAGCAAAACACCTGAAGTGATTATGAAATCCAATCCTCATGACAGTTAGTGGGATATACAGAAAACTTGCACCAAACACTGCAGCAAAATTTTAAACCGAACAAACAGCTTTTTATTAAGATAGACTACCAGCACATACAAGATAGAGAGACAGTATATAAATTAATTCTTCATCTTGTATTGCCAACCTTTATCTGTTTTCAATAAAGGCACACATGGTGCCTACTAACTATGTGTGACTATTGAAAACAGATAAACATTGGCAATACATGGTCCTATGATTTCCTCGATGCCATGTAACTTTGAAAATAATTTATCCCAACACACTGTTCTATAGAAGTGAAGTCTTTTAAAAATTTTAATAATTTTTCAAATGCAAGCAAAAAACAAATAAAAGTTATAAATTTCTTTACAAAAAATAGAACAGACTATGGAGAATTAATTGGGTTTACATAAAAACATAGAGAATATCTTACATTTGTGTGTAATGTAATGCTTATCCATTATTGAAGCAAAACAGCCAGAGTCTGACGATAGTTTTCGTTTACTGAAAATGTTTAGATGGCAAGGCATTCCAGGTCCAAGAACAAATTTTTAAAACACTGTGATGGATACAATAATGTGCATATGAGTCTGTGTGCGTGTAACCAATATCTTCTGAAAGAAAGCCGTGTAATTGCATTCAAATCTTAAATATGAGATTTCGAGCAGTAGTCCCATATATAATTTGTGTTATTACAAGTTTCACATTTACATAATTTTTCATTAAAAATTACTAAAACATTCCAATTAGCTGAATGTCAGACAGTTGGGTTTTTATTGAAACTTTGGTTTTTATAGTTATTCCAAGAGCATAATTTTTCTTTATGCTGATTTAGCTTTTCTGTTTTCTTTATGCTATAATAGTAATGAGTGTTATTAAAAAAAAATTCTCAAAAACAAAGGGAGTGATGAAGGTAAAAGTAATGAAAAGTGTTCTAAAAATAGAAATTTCACATGCTTGAATGCATTTTAAACACCCACCCTAATTCAAATCTATTTCAGGTCTAAATAAAATAAAATAAAATAAATTAAAAAATTAAAAAGATTTTTACATGTCTCTCGTTTTTCGAAAATTATATTTTAATCTGCATTCAAAACTGGATAACGTTTTAAGCTAATTAATATTTATAACAGTAGCATTTCATTAAAGCTGCAAACTAAACCTTAGGAAGGGAGGGAGTGTGTGTGAGAGAGAGAATGACAGAAGCGGATAAAACAAGCCAGTATTTTAATTTGCTTCTTAGATAAGAGGGGAAAGCATTTCAAAAATAATAAATTAAAAAAAACTGACTATATAAAACCTACCCTTACTGCAATTTTTATAAGCTTTTATTTAGTTTACTTACAGTGTTTCACTATGGGTGGAATTTTGCCATTGATTTTTCACCTACTTCCTGATAAGCTAATGAGTTCACAATCTGTCTATTACAATGTAATGTGATGAACCATTTTTTTTTTAATTAAATGTTTAAATAATATTTCCCACATGTCCACATTTAACAAACAAACAAAGTCTATCAGACTTTTATTCTTTTCACCATGGAATACAGCAAGGGAAAAAAAAAATCTTTTCAACGAAACTTGAATGAAAACTGCAATTTAATTTCTGAATTTTTTTAAACTGCTTGATTTTTTTACACTATTTGACATTTAAAAATTCAATATCTAAATATCAGACATAAAGTTTTGAAATTTTCACAAATTATAAAAGAAATTTTTTGCCCGTTTTTAAAATAAGAATGATAAACAAATATTAATTAAGTGATTTTCTACATTTTTTCAAAAATGTTTTGCAGTCTGAAGCAGACTGTAGTACAAAATTTTCTCACAACAATTGCTTTTGAATTTGTCATCTTGGTGCATTTAATTGTGAATTAGCCATATTAATTTTTTCATTTTAGTTTCAAGTAAAATGCACATTGTAACACTGTCATTACATCCAATTTTCAAAACTGAATATTCAAAATAATTTCTTCTTCTCTCAATGATGTTCGTTCTTACAATTTATTGCTTGTGTTTGATCACGACTAAAAATTTCATAATGGAAAATGCGTAATTGAGACTCAAAAGTAAAAAATAAACACAATTAAATTAAAAAAGAAAAAAGGTCTACATATGGTAAGCTTTAATTTAAAATGATATGATAGTGCACTAAAAGGAGAAAAATAATTTATTGTATAATTTATTAATGGGAAAAACAGATTAAATAATTCTACTTATAAAATTCCTCCAGGATTTTATATCGTGAATAATAAAAGAATGGGGTGAATAAATAATGAAATCTATTAATATTATTGCATTGAGTATAAGCCATTATCTTTTAAAATTCTCTTTTAATTGCATTATCAAATGTATAAGCTGTTATCTTTTTTATTTACTGTGGGTGCCCGACATTTTTATTATTCCCATAATAAAATTACAAATGAATTCTGTGAATAGGATTAATTAATCTATTTTTTCAAGAAACTATATGATACATTATTTTCCTCCTTTAGCGCATTAACTCTCATAGACATTTTAAATAAAAGCTCATTGTATAAAAACCTTTTTTTAATTGTACTTCATTTGTTTTTACATGGCTAGCCATTAACCAAAATTACTTACCGGATTGTAATGGACAGAGGAATTTTTTTCTTGATGAGAAAGACCTAATTTTGCTAAATCTTGGAAAAATCCAAGAAACCATTGTTTCTGCTCTACAGTAAAATTATCTAAAAAAATGAAAATACAATATATTTGTTAAAATTCATTTTAAAATGCATCTGTCAATGATGAGGGGGGGGGGAGAAGCAAATAAGTACAGACAAAAAAATAAAGTCCCAGATTTAAAATCACATACAATTTCTAACTTTTTTTTACCCAAAACACATAACAAAGCTTTTACATATTTATCTAAAAAGTTAGTCTTCTTTGTCACTTAATATTACATTTAATTTTAGTGGTTTATAATAATACATACTATTTTCAACATAGTATTTCTGAATTTCTATTACAAACTTGAACTATTTTTATTAAAATTTATTTCTATGTAGTAATCATAAGAATAATTGTCTTAAGACTTCATACAGAAGTAGAATTTAAGTTCATAAAATTTCTTTGAAGAAAATTATAGCAAAATTTGGCTATAATTTACTTTAAAGAAAGACTAGATACATTTAACCTGATGTGAAATCACATCAATAAATAAAAATCATAATAAAAATTATTAGCATTTTTAATGCAAGATAATGTAACAGACAGCAGTGAATACACAAGGTTCCCAATTTTAAATCAGATTTTTTTTTCATTTATTCACAACCTAAATAAATTCTTTTATTTATTCACAACCTAATAACAAGATCCAATATTTAAAAAAATGCAGCTCATATATTTTTATCAAACAATACCATGAACTAACTTTTTACATGAACCCCAAATTAAAAACAATTACCTGACATAGTATGTTGTTTGACGATCAGAAGCTTTTAAGGATAATATTACCAAAGCATGAAATAGTAATATGCATAAGCACAGTCAAAAATAGAAAAAGTACTTACTGCATTTTATGGAGACACATTCACATCTTAAAAACTACATCAGAAGTGGTTTCCATTTCAATTAATTCAATCTTTCAGTTATACATGAAAATTTTACCATAACCTAATAATGATATAATACAAAGTTTGAAATCCAGATTTCCATTAACTAGAATGACCTACTATCTGAACCTCATTTAAAATTCTTTTTTTATCAAACAGTTTCCTTTTCTCTCACAGACTGCAGAATATGATACCCAAGACAAGCAAGAGTTTCGTAAATAGATTTTCTTCCAGTTACCCGAGATTTCTTTCATGGAGAAATATCACTATCTGCAACAGTACTGAATGATCCTGCATATTTTTTCTCCTTACAACATTTGCTGTCTAGTAAACTGCACTTTAATTTTCAGCCTTTGAATGGCTGTCAGGTGTCGGTGTCGGTGTATTTAATTATGGCAAAGCACACTAGGGCTATCTGCCTAAGAGGAGGGAGCCTTTCGTGGAGGACTTTCTAAGGGAAACTGGCTCGTATACACGTTACACATGGGAAAACCACGAAAACACCCATGCAGCCAGCCCGTTCGCGGGATTCGAACCTCGGACCGAACTACCAGTGTTCAGCGACTTTACCGCTCGGCCGCTGGTGGGCCCAAAAAATGGCTGTCAGGAGGTTAGCATTTTTTTAAATCCTATTTAACTCCATATATAATAAACAAAGCCTGAACACTCATGTTTCTTTGGAATGAAGTATTGCACATATACCGCTTTTCTTTTGTTAGTGAAGCAGGAATGGCAGAAAAATGGAAGAAACAGTTCAATTCTGTTTAGCTAGCAATGCAAATCGCATTCTTCCTTAAATTTCTGATTTGATGCAGCTTATTATTTTCTTCAGTCTATCACTAGTAATCTTATAGAAATTCAAGCTTTGTAAAAATAACATATTTGATTTACTATTTTCTTAAAACTGGAGTTCCACTATTCAGTCATCATAATTTTGCCCGCATATAAATTCAGATATAAAGTAGCCCTTTTAAAATTAATGCAACATAAGACCATTCAAGAATTCTTGATATATTTTAATATAAAATCTGCTGCATGGAGTATTGCAAGTTCAAGAGAAGACTTATCTGCATATGTTCTTAAAAATGGTCTGCATAATTTATAACCAGCTAGCAAATTTCATGATGATTATGATAATACTGATAGTTGCAAATTAGAATGCTTTTGGAAATCACAAGTGAAATTTTTCATTTAATGGAATGTAAATAGTGATTCGCTGGTGCAACAAACTTACAGGAGATGTAGGGGCCACAGAGACGATTCGGTATCACATGGCATCGAAGCGTTTGAAATGCCTTCTACCCGAGCAATGGTTAAAAGAAGCAAAGAAAAAGAACAGAAATAGCAACATATTAGGGTGACAGAATTCATTTTATTAAAAGTTTTATATTGGCAAAAGTTACATGTTACAGACGGTTTTCAAAATGATGTCCAGAAGCCGCCACACAGCTTCACAGCATGGAATTCCTAATGTTCTGGAAGAGTCTTGGTGTGTCTTCTGTGTCTTCACACCTACAGAGATGCCAACGACAAGGTCTTCAACTGAATCAATGGTGGTTTTGCACACCAGTACCTTTATCTGATTCCAGAAGAAGTCCATGCATGATAGGTCCAGTGATCTAGCAGGCCAATGAACTGGAGCACTACGACCAAACCAGTGCTGTCCAAATGTAACAATCAGGTGTTGGCAGATGTCACTATACTAGTCGTGGGGCAAGCTCCCATCATGCGGGAAACCACACTGAGCACTGAGCAACGCAACAACTGAAAACACCGACAGAGAAACGAATATTGTGCTTAGAGGTGTATCGTGTACCATGGGGGTATCCAAAGCCCCCAAATGGGCACAATGTTGATTGAAGGCTCCCTCTGTTATGAAAAATGCCTCATCCATGAACAATATGAGCACAGAAAATGCGCTATCTGCTGCACTATGTTGAAGCTACCAAGTAGGAAAATTACTCCACAGTGGATAATCCACAGGCTCCAATGCTTGGACATATTGTATGAACGCATCTGGTTTTCTGACAGTATCTTCCATACAATGGACTGGAACAAACCCAATCATTGGACTACAGCGCAAATTTTACTTGGATTGCCTTCTGCTAGACATACGATATTCTCCTCACTGTCTGGCGTCCTCGCTGTTTGCTCTTGATTCATGGTAGGTCTCATGAAACAACTAGTCTCGCATAACCTTTTGTGCAGATGTACAAACATTGTGTGACGAGGAGCACACTTATGTGGGAAACGTTCCTCATGGTACAGCACAGAGAGGTGCACTCATTGCCATCCACTGCACTAGCAGCTCTGTGAGGTGCGTATGGTTGGCCAGTTCAACATTTGAATATTCGTCCATCCTACTACCTCACAAACCGGTTCGCAAATGCTCAATTCCAACACAATGGCTGTTCTGGGACATCTCATTTAATGCTCTCTACTGCATGATGAAGGCATTTCCGACTCTGTAACGCTATGCGATTCCAAATCATCTTTGTGCTTCCTATATCTCCTATAAGGTTGTCAAAAGGGTAGTGAATTACCCTGTATGAAGAAATGCTAAATATAAATGATATAACTGAAACCCCATTGCATTGACAATAATTATCCTCATAAATTAACAGAATGGCAAAATCTGTAGTATGATTTTAAATCCAGAAAATATTACAAATTTAGTTTTGAATCACTTTAACCCATTAGCCGCTGGTATTGCGTTGACGCAACGGTCAAAATAAATGCGTATATAAATATAACTACCTAAGATATTTTATACCAGCAGATGATTTTATGTAAGGAATATTATGAAGATTATTTCTGTAAAAAAATATTTGCCTTCAATAATCATTTTGTTTATAATACTTTAAGCAAAATTTAAGTAAAATTTTCGACCGGGTATTTTTGCTGAAAATATTTAACGAAAGAATTGCCATCTTTATGAGTGATCTATTTTTAGTCAAGATCACCGTTTATCAGAACATTACATCAGTCAGATGTTTATATTTGTGTTGCAAAGGAAGGGAAAACAGGTGTTGCGGTGATGCAACATCAGCAGGAAACGGGTAGTCAATCTCCTTTTTCACTCATTCCTTTCAATGTTTTGTTTCATGTTCTGGTTGTTTAAAAATGCCTAGAACGACGTATCTTACATTAGAAGAAGCCCTTCAAAGATTTTTTGATGAAGAAACAGATGATGATAATGTTAATAATGACCAGAATAAAACTGATATTGTTGTTGTTCCCCCATAAATTGCAGAGGCTAGTGACGAAGGAGAAAGGAATGGCAATGTTTTAAATAATGATAACGATACTGCTGGGGAAGTTGAAATTCACGTAAGAAGTAAGTTTCAGCCTTCTAAAAGCAGTTATAGTCATACTAAAAAGTTTAAAAAGCAGAAGGCTGAAATCTTGAAGTGGATGAAAAAGGAACTGTTAGTTATGTCTCAGGAAGAACATGAAGAAAGCAATAGAAGAGAAATTATAAAAGACAAAATACAAGATAAAACTAGTGCACAGATTTTCGATTTTTGTTTTGGTTTAGACATTTACTCTCTTCTCGTTGAACAGACAAATATATACGCTCAGAAAAAAAAGTGCCCAGAATTTATTGCATCTGAAGCCTATATGAGAAGATTTATTGGAGTATTATTGCTTACAGGATATCATTCTTTACCTCAAGAAAAATATATTGGTATTTTGATAAGGACATTTCTGTTCCTGTTGTACGAGACTCGATATCACGTTTGCAGAACAGGAATATGAAGCAGAATTTGCATTTGACAATAGTCAAATTTACAATACTCATAAATTATATGAGGTGAGACTGTATCTTAACTTACTAAATATCACCACTTTTTACTACTGGAAGTATAAAGTTTCTTTTAGATTTCAGATGCGAGAATGCATTATTCCTTCAGCAAACTCCTGTTGAGAGTGTAGAATTAGCCAGAAATAGATCAGCAACAGAAAGACCTAGTACATTCAGCATTCAAAAACCATTGCATGGAGATGGTAGACATTTTATCGTAAAGTCCGTTGATAACAAAAGACTTTGTTGTAAAGAGTATCATAGCCAGACTGTTTATAGATGCAAAGTATGTAATGTAGCTTTACATCATGATTGTAATCAAGCTTTT